ATAATATATTATTGTATTAATATTTTACTTATTTGGATCTATTTTTGATCTTCATGGTTGTTAGGCAACTGGACATGTGCCATGGTAAAGGCAAAAATAAAGCTGAAGGCTAGACCRTCCACTTTCACAGCCATTTTCTTCCAGTCTTTGCATTCAACAAAGGATCCAACCCACGTTGACCGGGTCATTCAAAGGATGCAGCCTCTGAATTTAGACAATCTTCCATCCTGAGCAGCATGTTGGCGACAGTGGGAAGAAACAACTCACTTCTAACAGGAAAAAGACCTCAAGTAGAACCAGAACCAAGCTCAGAGTGGGCAGCAATCTGCTGGACTGGCTGGCCTTTGAAAGGACAGGGAAGGGACACAGACAAACACAGATTAACTGGTTCAGCTGCAGTTTCTGTGGAGAAAAAAAGAAAACAAAGAAAAATGCATGTTTATGATAGAAACAATAAATACAAACATCAGAGCGAGAAAACAGAGCAGCAGAGTAAGGAGGATGAGCAAGTTTTCACAACACTGGAAGCCATTCTGACTAACTTTAGTCACGTTCAGTATTTGACTTCAATATATCTTCACTGTCATGATAAACCAAAGAAAATTACAAATTACGGGGATATCAGTGATGATAAACCTATTTTTTCCTTGCTGCTCAGTTTCGTTGTTGTCATCACTATAATTTAAATCAGTTGTGGGCAATCAAAGCCAGTCAGATAGTATCGGATTAACCAAATATATTACTAGCATGTGGAACACGAAAGCATGCTTCTTAAAATGTAATAGTCTATAATTTATTGCAGTCAAAGCACTGACATTGCTTTGAAACTCTATAACCAGARTTGCACATAAGCGGTGYGCAGGTGCGCATGCGCSATCATAAAAGAAAAAGCGCACCAGATGGAACGTCATAAAGCTCACTTGCGTAAGATTGTACCTGAAATTGTGAAAACAACAGCTAGCAGGGTCGCAAATAYGACCGGATTTCTTAAAAACAAACAAAACAAACAAAAATCCAGCCTCACTGATGTGACTGGATCATCATTCTGTCAGAGGAGGGCAGCGGGGCCCTGATGTATAAGGATTAAACGGACACTGCTTTCAACGAATCAGACGAACTCCAGTGCTGTTTTATCCAATCAGAGCAGGGCGGGACTTTCAGTCAGAGCAGTTTTCAGCAGAGACTGTGGAAGCAGCGGCTGCAGCGATCAGTCCTGACATCTCCTTTGGTCTTTAAAACCTAACTTTATATTAATTATATGTTCAGAGCGTTGTTATTGAACAGATCTGTCCAACWTTGCGTCTGTGACTAAACTCTCTCCTCCTGAGAGACGGAACGTGCCTCAGCATGTGCAGGCTGTGAGTCTTTCTGTGAGATTCACTGTTCGAGTTCTTCTAAACCATACCTCTAACAGAAGAACATTTATTTGCCCCATTTCAAAGCAAAGATGAGTCTCTGTTAAACATCACCCCTCCAATCCAAATAAATAAATAAATAAATAAATAAATAAATAAAAACTTGCCATGTTCTCTAGGTGAATGAGTTTTAAACGTTATTTTAATTTATCAGAAAGATCCACAAATTTCATTCTTCACAATTTTATGATTAAAACAAGGTTCTTCATGTGCTAAACATGTTTATATTTAGAATCATACCATGACACAACTGCTCTGGGATTAAGGTATTTTAATAAATGATAAAATATGAAGAACAAATCATTTTAAATGATTACATGAGCTGAAATCATCTGAATATAATATTTTTGAATAAAATAGTCTTTTAAAAAGAAATCAGTCTAACAAATAAAACATTTGTTCTGTGCAAAAGACAGATATTTGCTGCTTGGTCTGGAGAGTGTGGAAAGCTGGTTTAAACAAGGCCAAACATCTAGAAGGCCAAACTACAGGAGTTGTACATCTCAGGGTCATATCATGTGTAATCTAACAGACATTCAAACATGAAATGTTCAGTTTGAGATGACATATGCCCATGGGTCAGCCCATTGACCACTTAGGTAGTTTACAAAATGTATGCAGAGAAGAAAAAAAAAACAAAATAAAAAACTCTGATTTGGCATGATGTCCCAAGACATTGCCAGCTGATAGAAGGCATCATAAAACAGAACAGGGTGATAATAAATGCTCTGAAACCCCTATAGATAAATGTGTTAAATGATTTAAGGAAATATGAGTACCAAGCAACAACCCCAGGTTCTCCCCTGAGAACCAGACCAAAAATTGTATGTGCAACCCTGTCTATAACGATGGTTCCCAACCCATGGTCTCTGCTTTGACGTTGCTGATTTGTGTGAATGAGTGATTAAAACGCTTTAGAATCTGAAGACCTACTGAAGAGCAAAGAAACATCCAATCAACCAGGGTTGGGAACCTCTGCTCCATTACCCGACACACTTCAAAGTCAAAATGCCATTCAAAGATTCAGTGGGTCACAAATATTGGAAAAATCCCATGTGGTGATGAAGAGTCTGAAAGTGCAGGCAGGATGAACCCAGAAATCTTTTGATAAATGAAGAAACACAAACGGAGGCCCAAGAACAAAACATTGGTACAATGACGGCCTAATGCAGACTAAGTAGAAAACAATGAGCTTGTATGAACAGGGATGGGTGATCAGTGAATAGAGACAGAGGATGGAACAAAGCTGTGTGAAACTGATGCTCAATTAGAGCTCAAGACGACACAAGGACAAAATTATCTAACAACCATAAAACTCAGGATAACAAATAACCTGCAAATCAGAAACCAATAAGAATAACAGAACTATGAGAACACCAGAACTTCACATGCCTAAAGGGACATTTTCATGTATTTTACACAGGGCAACTTTTCAAAATGTCTTTGGAAAATGTCATTGTTTGCATTTTTTGCAGGTGAAGACCCATGGCCCCAGCTTTACTCGAGTCCATGCACCCTGGCCTGTGTTGTGCAGAGAGGCAGAGTTTCTCAAGATTAAAGTCCCCACTAAGACGGTAAGCTCTCCTTCTTTAAATCCTGTCGTCATAGATGACTCAGTAGTAATACGATATCACAAAGATAAAAAAAAAGTGTAATTGAAACTATCAAAACAAAACAATGATTGACAAGACAAAGGCGTACAGAGCAAAGTTCTATTAGGTGCCCCTTTGCACACAACCCATTCAGCAACAGATTTTTGTTCTAAATAATGCATTATAGGAACTCTGCTTTAAGTTTTTCTCATGCTCTCAAAACTGTAACGCATTGTTAATGTTCGTCTAATATATGAAATAACATCACTGGTTTTATGTTGATGGTTGTCTCAGAGTTACGAGCTCAAAGAAGAAAAGGGTTTTGGGTCCAGTATGAGCACAGTGTGGAGGAAACTGAACCAGCCGTTCCAGCCCAAAGTGTCTCAACAGGACCACGGAAGCACCAAGTTCATTTCCCACTGCTTCTCCAGGGACAAGCTTCACCTGTAAGAGAAACACGAGTTTAACATCCATCCATTGCATCATAGTGCCACATTACTTACCTCACTCACACTATAATTTTTTTTCATTTAACCTTAACTTAATTTCCAGCAAAAGAGCACATTACAACCACAATCATGGTACTGCACTAGTCTTGATTGTAATGTGTTATTGAAGTAGACAAATTTTATGCAACTCATACTAGTCTTTAAGAGGTCCTTAGAGGTGCTTGTAGGAGCTGGCAGGTTGTAAAGCTGGACCAGAGGTCAGAGCTAAGCTATTCTTTATACTGTTTTGTGTTTTTAAAATGGTGATTAGAAAAAGAAGCTGTTGAAGCTGAGTTGCAAAGAAGTCAGAGCAGCATACAGAGTGAGTTAAAAGTCACAGAACACCCTTTTATTTCAGAAAGAAGAGGGAAAATTACATACCTGAATACCCCAGAAAGTAATGGGTGACATGATTGCAGACATGAAGTCTATTGGCTAGATGTGCTATCTCATGACTTTTCTTGGTGATCATTTTGTTCGGGGCAAGGACAACTCAACAGACAGTAGATAGCTGGTAAAGATGAATTTGGTAACCTAGACAAGTTAAAATTGGGGCATTAGGCAACCTTGACTTGAAGAACATGTTGCCAAGGTATAAACATCGGCAATGAATGATGTTTCTAATAGGCAGAAGCTAAACAATGAAAAGCTAATATGCATATGCAATTTTATGCAGAATTTTAGCCATGATAATTGATTATTGAGTTGTTAGCATATACACTAAGAACTAGCAATGGCATGAGTAGTTTTTATAGAATTTGAGTTGAGTAGAACCAAAGCCCTGTGGAACACCTATTGGTAGGGGCAGAAGGTTGGACTGGAAATCCTCAGCTTTTAATGATTGTTGATGATTGAATTAGTAAATTCTGAACCAAGCCAAGCATTTATCCAAAATTCATTTGGAAATTCTTATTCATACCTGCAGAATATGTTAAATCAGATCTTTGTGACTTACCCGATTGACTTACACTGTGTTAAACACTCTTGTACTGGAGCAGAAATTTTTTTTTTTTGGTAAATTTACATCTTGTTGCAAATCAAGAAAAAGTTTTCATAACTGAATGTCTAGTTCTGCTGGTATTTCTTTTTATCAGCTATGAAAGAGAATTGATTAAATTCAGATGATTACTATGGATCACTTACTAACAGTGGTGGGCAGCGCTAATTCAAATTTTTGTTGTGAAATTTTTAATCTCCAGTTAACTTATTTAGGTCCGCAAGTTCAAAAGCACAAATGCTCACTAAAACTTAGCAGAAGCTAATGTTAAGCACAATATAATCTCTGTTTTCCAGAAAACATTCAGGTAAGAGAAAAATCAACACTAAACACATCTGGTGTTAAGATTACTTTCACTGACAAATTGGCACATGTTGGCGCAGAATGGGGAGGTGATTAGTAGAAACAAACTTTTAAATCATGGTTGTAAAACAAAAAATAATTGTGGCTTGCTAGTTCTGCTGCTTCTTGGTCATTTTCTTATATTCATGGCAGGGCTTCAGTAAGAAAACAAGCAGCTATTTTAATAATTTGAAACAGTTTGTTGTAAAACTGAAGCAATGCATTCTGGGTAGGCTATAGGACACAGAACAGGAACTCTGTTCTTTTCAAAATAAGAGCATGAATTTAAACTGTTCCATGTTTCTTTCTTTAATATTATTTATTTATTTAATATTTATTGCCGCAGTGTCCCTCGGAGAGGAGGTACAAACTGCACAGCTGAGTGTGATTCTGCAGATCAGAACCACAGGTGGATTGTCACCCAGTGAAGAAATTCTAATTGCTTCCTGCCACGCAAAGAATTGTKGGAACACTACAGTCTCTACTAAGTGAAAACCGTCACCGAAAAGAGTCAGAAGTCAGAGTATAAAACTCTGTGAACACAATGCAGACTAAGGGGTCGATGTTTCCTCACGATGAAGGTTCATTTTATTAAAAGGGCAATATTATGTGTTTCTCAGGCATACATTTAAATACTATACCATAATAAAGTATCTATGTCACATTTAGCTGTTATTAAAATGCTGTTTTTATGTTTAAATAGAAAATAAACGTATCTTGTCATTACTTCCTCTTCTAAACGTCTTGAAATTGGCCTCTGTCTCTTTAAGAACCACCATCCGCTTCTGTCTCGCCCATTTCAGTGCGGGGGGGGCTGCCATGATGCAGTTTACCTGGCATCTGAAAATACATTTCCTGAAAGGTAATTTTAATCTGAAAAGAGCTTCACTGAGTGAGAACTAGTGTAAGACGTTCAGCAGACAGTTTCAGTTTCACTTTCAGTTTCACCCGAGAGCCTGCAGGAGTCATGAGCGGGGTGCRCCCCTCCCCGCCATGAGGAMGTTCGGCTTAAAGACACATCCCAGGGGCGTTTCTGGTCCCCAAAGGCGTTTCTGGTCCCCACCTGTCATTTTGCTCCTCAGCATGGCTTCCTAAAAACGCTGCAGGATTTCTCAAACATGCATGAATGAGTCAGAGCAAGGCTTTGGGCATGTTTTTTTATGAGAGTATAACATTATAACATGATATAAAACTCAAAAAAGTTGATTCTACATGATATTGCCCCTTTAAGTAGAGATGGCTTTCTGCTTCATTGTTCAAGAAAATGAAGACAAAGTCTTAATGAACTATGTGGCTACTAAACATAGTGAGACGTGACAGCTTTTTTTTTCTTCCTGTCCCCCAACCAGCCGGTTGAGGCAGAAGGCCGCCTGTCCTGAACCTGGTTCTACTTGAGGTTTCTTCCTGATTAGCAGGGAGTTTTTCCTCCCCAACATTTGCTCAGGATGGGAGACTGTGATGAAGTGATTCAACGAAGCCTGCTGGCTTCTTCTTTAGATTGTTCTTTTTTATGTATAGTGCACTTAGACAACGTATGTTGTGACTTGGCGCTATATAAATAAAATAAATTAAATTTAAAAAATTAAATTTTTTTAGCTTTGCTTTAGATGAAATTGACGCTTGAATGTGAAACATTATTTGCGATTAGCGCTACTCAATTCTAAAGTTAGAAAGCGTAAATCCGCACATCATTTTAAGAAATTAATAATACCCCTAAAGCGCAAAGGAGAAATTAAGGTCCACRATTAGCACATTTGTGTTTTAGGGGACTAGTGCCCACCACTGCTTACTAAGCTATTTAAATTCACATTAYTCAAACAGAAAAGTAAGCTCTAAAATCTAGATACTTTAGTGATTTCAGATGAACTATTTTAAGATTATTAGCGTAATAATTTTTTGGGTTTGTTCCTTTCAGTTACAACATCACATCTAAGGATACATTCTTTGACAACGCCACAAGAGCCAGAATAGTAAGTATTTGTAAATGAACTGATGTACATCTTCCTCCTGCGATCCATGTTATTTCACTTCCCAGTTTAATTATCTCCAATCCTCCACAGGTGTATGAAATTCTGAGACGAACAGTTTGTGTGCGAACCTGTCAAACTATAGGTAAGGAAACAAGCGAACCTCTCTAAAATGCTGCTTATWCTTTTCATTAAATATCCATCTTGGGTAATTTGATTGCAAGTGATCAGCTCTGATTAGACCCATTTAAACCTGGCACTCTGCTGTGGGTATGGGGTCATATCAGTTCGGTAGGAGGTCCTCCGTCAAAGATCAGGTTGCCGATCAGATTGCAAAATTTATGCAGACATTTTCTTTCAGACCACCGTTAGAGGTGGTCCGAGGGAAAACATTATCCTGTATCAAGTTCTATCCTAATACAACCTGATAGCTAAGGATGGAAATAAATACCAGGTGTGACCGAGGTCAAAGTTGTTTTTTACACTAGAAGCATCCATTTTGGTCTGAAGTTGTCTTTTTAAAATGCTGCTAATTCTCTAAAAACAAGCGTCTTCAACAATTGCTGGCCCCAGCTTAATGTCAGGGTCTTTTGATCCTTTTAGCAAATAACTTGTGCCTCTGACAACTTAACTACTGTATAAACCGCATGTGCCTCGTGAGGCAAATTATTTTCTATTCCTGCTTTGGGGGGTTTAACTTCATACTTGAAATAGCGTTAAAGATTTAAAAGCAGAAACATATTTAAAATATCTAACAGTTTCAGGTAAACAAAGCTTTGAGTTTTTACTCAAAGAATCCAAGAACAAAGGCGTTAATCTTTCTTCACTTATTTATTGTTACTTTGTCACAACACTTCAGCTCAGATGGGCTGTTTTCAGAAAGACAGCTTTTCTCATTACCAGTTCTGTCTACCTTGGATGTCCTCAGAGACGACGAGCAATTAAAAGTGTAGGATGAATTCTACTGGTCTAAGCAGACATACAGGTAATAATTTGGGTCTTTAAATAATGCTTTTAAATCACTCTTTTTTTCAGGATGGACTGAATATGTAACAGACTTCAGGGATAAAAAAATTAAATACACAAATTTACATTTATTGTGGATTTTTTTTTTTACACACAGCTTAAATTATACATATGGGCTCAAATAAATGCATATATCGAAATCTAGCAAGTTGCACCTCAACCACTGGCTTTTTATAGCCATCAGAAAGCTTAAGGTATATTTCTGGCTAAATAGTTAACAAGGGCTGGGCGATATGGCTAAAGAATGTATCAGGATAAAAGAGTTTCATGTCAGTTGATATTGATAATCATTGATTAGTTTTTTTTACTTACTTGAAAAAAGGACCAGGAGGAAAAATGCTGATTATTCCTGCCAACCTGGTGACGTGACCTTTCCTTTTAAATCCACTATTTCCTCTTGAGCTTTTGCCTCCTTTTCTTATTTCACTCCWTGTTGTTCTTTTCTATTTTGAAGCAGTTATGAGGCTGAAACTGCTGCAAATGTTACTCAACAGGTTGTTTATCAAAGAGTGAATGAGTTAGCTGATGCCACCAACTTTGCTTAGCCGGGCCACTAACCTTAGACCACAGTTCAGTGAAATTATTAACATTCTATTGGACACATTTTCTACTGATATTGATCACATGTCTATCACGATATATATCGTTATTATTTATCGACCCACCATTTTGACCTTTGTTCTTGGCAGAATTAGTAGTGTTGATTTYAATTTGATTGGTTTTCTGGCTCATTTCTGAATTTTAAGCGTAGTCCAGGCCACAGCTCAGTGCTTTATTTGTTTGGATCCTGTTGGAATACCCATGTTTCCAAGTTTCAGCTATGCAATGCACCAGTGCCACAGCATGAAGCTACCACCCCCATGCTTCTTGTAATTGTCATAATCCTCAATCTTTGACCAGAATACTTCTCTCCAGAAGCTATTTGGCTCGTCTGTGTGGGCTTTTGTCTTGGTCCACATTTTCTGAGACCAGGAGCAGGTAAAAACCGCTTCACTGTGACTGGGGTTTCTATTAATGGCAGCCTTGAACGTTGGTTGTTTCTGGAGAAATTACATGCCTTTCTGGAGCCTTCATTACCACTTATTAAAATATTTAGTTGAATCTATGTAAATATGTTTGAACCAGTATATATAATTTTCACCATGTGGGGAAAAACCTGTGCTCTGAATTATTGTTTTGAAAAAATTCTTGAAGTTGTATGTTGTATAATTATTCCACCCATGGAAAGGAACAGTTCAAACAAATAAGAAAATAAATGCCCCAAAGATTGCAACCCTAATTCCAGTTAAGTTGGGATGTTGTGTAAAACATACATAAAAACAGAATACAATGATTTACAAATCCTTTTCAACCTATATTCGATGAAATACACTACAAAGAAAAGATATTTATTGTTCAAACATATAAACTTTATTGTTTTTTTTTTTTTTCAAATATTCACTCATTTTGGATTTGATGCCTGAAGCACGTTCCAAAAAAGCTGGGACAGGGGCCAGAAAAAGAAAAAGAAAAAGACTGGGAAAGTTGCTCACACACATCTGTTTGGAGTATTCCACGGGTGAACAGCTTCATTGGAAACAGCTGACTGACTTGATTGGGTATAAAGGGAGCATCCCTGAAAGGCTCTGTTGTTCACAAGCAAGGATGGAATGAGGTTCACCACTTTGTGAAAAACTGTGTGAGCAAATAGCCCAACAGTTTAAGAAAATCATTTCTCAACATTCAATTGCAAGGAATTTAGGGATTTTATCATTTACAGTCCATAATATAAACAAAAGGTGTAGAGAATCTGAACAAATCTCTGCAAGTCAGCAGCAAGGTCAAAAACCAACACTGAATGTCTTCAATCCCATAGGCAGCTATTAAATCATTCTGTAACAGATAATACCATGTAGTTTGTCTACATCAGGGGTGCTCAACTTTTTTTGAACCAAGAGCTACTTTTGAAGTCGGCAGTTTGCCGAGATCTACTCGTCCAGTCTCAGTATCAAAAACATAATTTTTC